TGTGTGTTTGTGTGTTTGTGTGTTTGTGTGTTTGTTTGTTTGTGTGTTTGTTTGTTTGTTTGTTTGTTTGTTTGTTTGTGTGTGTGTGCGGAGTGACAGAATAATACCCTGTCACCACAGTTTCTTGCACAGGGGGACCATCCATTTGCTGTGTGCGATGGTCCAACGAAGCGGCCACAGCAAATGCGGATATCGAGGCTGATCACCTCGACGTACCTGTGCATCTCGTGTGATTCAAAGTCCTTTTGGCCCGTTGTTTCTCTCGCTGTGTGTGCTTCATGTTGAATTTGTAACGTTTTCGCTGCTAGACGGAAACCAAGTGACTGCAAGCCGAACCTACACCTACTCGAGACTCATCAGTTGTACTCGAGACTCATCAGTTGTACTCGAAAGATTAGAACCCTCCATCAGGAGTCTAAGTGTGAACACCCCATTCGTGGGGGACCCTCGGGTGTACCCATCGTGTGACCCCGGGCCGGTACGCCGGAAAATTTGACCTCAACGTGCTTATCATAGAACAGCGGAATTTCACGTTTAAACAGGAACGAGGTTTCACTAAAGGGAAGACAGCCACCTCTTCATAGTTAAGTTTCACAATCCTGGACGTCGCTGCTGGCAGTTTGTCGGCCGATTCACATGCATGTACATGGTTTTGAGTTGTCGTTGATTGTGGTTTGTATCCTGCCTCAAGGACGAGTTTTACCATTTCCGGACGTGTTGCTGTTTCGTCATGTCACGCCGGGATGATCGAGACAGATCCAGAACTCGGCGCAGACGGGACCGGAGTCCCTCCTCCCAACCTCGCAAAGCACGCAGACGTGAACACAAGGACAACCAGGTCTCGGATGGCATGGATTGGAACAACTTGGTCTCCTGGCAACACAATTCGGGCTACAACACTTCCAGTGCTTTTCCGGTGCCACCAGGCAACTATCAATCGAACCCCTCCTCTACACAGCAATTTCATCATACTCCGGTCAACTACATGATGCCGTTTCCTCCGGAACCCACACCAGCCAAGTTCGTGACGCCCGTGATGCCACCACAGGTCACTTCTTCCCAAGCTACACCATCGCCTGGATACCCAGCTGCGATACCAGTTCGACCTCAAAAAGCGTGGCTTACTCCACCGAATGATTGGAAACCTGGTGATGGCATGTTCGACATCAACCAACTCTACAATCCTGGACATGCAAAAGTCATGTTTTTCCGGCCTTTTGCTCGAAAAGTTGTATGAGCATGCTTCTTTTTCAAAAAAACTTGAATCATTCAACTTCTGCTTTTTGCTTGTAACATGCGCTAACTTCACAAGTCATAAGCTAAACATAGTGAAATTCTTATTTTAACTTGCAATTGAAAAACGATTTGACACACGCGGGTGTCAAAATCGTCAATTCACATATCAATTAATGTTTTTCTTGGCACATCGGCCTCTGAGAGTTCACACATATATGTGACACGAGGTTTACAGGTTTACCTCGTTGAAGAGGAATCCGCCGCGCGCTTTTCCACTCAAGCGACACCGTCGCAAGGTACCGCCGGATGAAGCACGATCCCAGCTTGAACGGGTTTGCCAGGCCAGACTGCCACATATGGATAAATGTATGTATCCTTAAGTCCCCACGTACTACCAAACAACAATAATGCAGACCGATCTGCAATACACAGCGCAACTTAATCTGCACCAGCCAGGGCACTTGGGGCGAACTTTGTATGTCTTAACATTGCGCTGCAAGTTGTCGGCGGCAAGCCAGAGGAAGCCCTTCACAAACCGAGTGGCCGCCTGCAGCCCATCGTCGCCCATGAAATACGCAGAGCCCTCGTCACCAATCTCAACGGCTGATGCGAGGCATTTGCCGGTCCTGGATTGCATGGATGCATGTAGGCCCGGAAAAGAACCCGAGTAACTCAGGTGGCGCAGGAGTGGCGAAAGTACTACGCATGTATGGCTCAAAGTGCGAACAAAGACTCAGTCGCAAGACTTTGGCATACGTGGGGTCGCGGGGGCAGTCGAAGTACAGTAGAACATCAGCCTGGGCAAATGCAATTTCTCTTGATTAAGAGTGTTATAAAACAAAAGAAGGCAGGAGACCATGAAGAGGATGAGGATTCGGGCGTCGTGCCCTTTGCAGTTCAAAGTCGCGTAGCCGCCCTCCGCCAAGACCAGCTCATCGCACTCAAGCTTTAACTGCGCGATTTGCACCACAGTCGGGCCAGATCCAAGGCCACATCAAGCTTGTTTCCAAAAATGTCCAACAAGCAGCTGCCCAAATAGTCAGGCGCAAAGCCTCTGTAGTTGACATGCAGAACATCGTCCCATTTCAAGCGCGGGTGAAAAGTCGGGAGGGCGGTCAAGGGGCTCAGTGTTCTGTTCCAGGAGCGAAAAGTATCAACAAATTCCTTAGGTGCGCTCAGCTGGTCAAGGCGCGCAAGCACCCATATATCGCACAAGAATCCGCAAGCGTCTCATCGCTGTTCATCCACCCGCTATCCGGAAACA